GACTGAGCCACCCAGGCGCCCCTTTGGGACCCCGATTATTCTAATATTGTTTTGCTTTATGGTATCATTGATCTTTCGTATCCTCCCTATGTGATCCAGTAATTGTTTCTTTCTCTTTTTCTCATTTTTTTTATTCTCCATCATTTTGTGTTCTATATCACTGACTCTTCTGCCTCATTTATCCTAGCAGTTAGAGCCTCCATTTTTTATTGCATCTCAGCAATAGCCTTTTTGATTTCAGCCTGATTAGATTTTAGTTCTTTTATTTCTCCAGTAAGGGATTCTCTAGTGTCTTCTATGCTTTCTTCAAGCCCAGCTAGTGCCTTTGTAATTATTGTTTTGAATTGTAGTTCTGACATCTTACTTATATCCATATTGATTAAATCCCTGGCAGTGAGTACTGCCTCCTGTTCTTTCTTTTGGGGTGAGTTTTTCTGTCTCATCATTATGTCCAGAAAAGAATAGATGAAAGGGAGAGAAAATACAAAAATAGCAACAACAACACCAGAAAAATACACATTAAACAAATCAGAAGAAAACAGAAAACAAACAAACAAACAAAAAAAGAGGGAGAGAGAGAGAGAAATCAAACAAAACGTAGAACAGAACACAACAATAAACTAGATCCTGAGTGTATTTTGGTCTGTTTTTCAGAAGAAACTAGGTCCCAAAATAGGAAAGAAAGAAAAACTTACATATATACAAAAATAAAATTGAATACAATAAAAGGAAACCAAAAATGATATATATAATGTAAATGTGAAAATAAAAATTAAAAAAGACTTAAAAAAAGAATTGATAAAATAAGAAACACGCTGAAAAGAAAAAAATATACAACTGAAAGACTAAAGAATAATAAGAAAAAAGCCACAAATGCTATATACTCTTTTCCCCAAGAGCTGAAGTTTTGCAGTTCTCTGTAATTGGTAAACTTGGTATTAGCTGGATGTTTGTTCTGGTCTTCTGGGGGAGGGGCCTGTTGTGCTGATTCTCAGGTGTCTTTGCCCGAGCAGAATACACCCCCCCTTGCCAGGGGGCTGGGCTCAGTGTAAGCAGCCCCAGACTGCACTAGGTAGTGCTGTTTTGCTCCCTGAAGGCTTTCAGCACGATGGGGAACACCCCGATCTCTAGTTCCAGAGCTGAAAGTTTGTGCCCTGCCCACTCTTCAGTGAGCCCTCACAGAAAAGCAGTCAATCACTCTTGTCTCCCTTGTTTGTTTGTTCCTTCCTTCCTTCTTTTCTTCCTTCCTTCCTTTCTTCCTTCGTTCGTTCATTCGTTCCTTCCTTCCTTTCTTTCTTTCTCCCTCCCTCTGAGATTTTATTAAGGAAAAGAAGTCATGATTTTCTTTAGCTGAGGTGAAAAGACTGCTTCATAAGTTCATATGTTGTACAAGCCACTGCTTGAGAGGGAACACAGAGGATGTAATTAAGAGATAAACCACGCTATAATCCTCTTCGAATTCAATGGTGTCCATAGACGTACTTCATAGTCTCCCACATGGCAAGGCAGTTTTCAGATTCTGGAAGAACAGTTCCTAATTGCATTCGCCGATGAGTTACATCAAATGGGTAGGATATTGTCTGTGCTATGGCTTTGGCAACACCCCCACAAAGTAAGTTTATGTGGGTTTTCAAAACTAAGATGTTAGGATTGTCTGATGAAGGTCTGCCAAGAAGGGGGGGAGCATGGGAAAGCCCAATACCAATAGTATTTTACCAATAGTAAAAAATGAAACACCTGCTTATGGAGCCATTCCTAATATAGTGGGCATCAGGCCTCTGTAAAATCCAAGGAAACCACCTTCCTTTGCATAAATTGTCTTGAATGCATGAATAATTCCTGTCTAAGTGTGTTCCCCTTTCACCTGGAGTGCTAGGCGTACTCTCAGCATGTCAAGAGGGTAAGGACAGATAACTGCTGTCACAGCTGCTGCGGATCCAGCCATTAACCTGTGCACATGACTGGAAACCCCCAGCTTTGTAGTAGTTAACGTTTTATAATGCTCAAATGCCATAAACTGGATTGCACCATAGGGAGAGATTCGGATCATCATTATATATACCTTTATATAATCCAAGGTATCCCTCCTTTTGGGGAACAGCACCCAATGCAGCAAATACTCCTCAATGTTTGTAATGGTGATTGTGAGCTTGTAATAAAACTTCTACTCGATCCAAAGGACCAACTGTTGTTTTGGCACACATTCCGGCCAGAAAGGAGTGCAGCCTGTAGAAGTCCCGACGGGCAGTGGGCCCTCCAGCTCCTGCCACCTGCGGGCATCGAGGGAGGGGGGTCGGCTGCTGCCACCGCCATCAGGACCAGGGCCCCCTCAGGAACTCTGGTGGCCAATTTACAGGCCGCGGGCTGGGGCCATGGTCACAGTGGGCGGTGACAGAGCACCAACCGCCGTGCGGGTGGGAGGGAATGTCTCCCTGGTTTCTACCTGCTCTCTGTGTTCACCCAGCCCATGACTGAGCGTTTTTATCTCAGGCATGACCCTATTTTGAGTCGCCAAACTTTATGGCCTCCTAAGGCAGGGACCCATGCTATTTCTCTTGGGGGGAGTAACAGGGGTTTCGCTGGGGTTCTGCTGCTTGCTGGGTCACTGCTCAGAGAGCAGTTGTCTGACTGCTGGGGCTTGGGGTTTATGGCAACACCGAGCAGAAAGCCCACTCCTGAGCTCTCTGTTTGCAGCTGGCTTCCCTGCTCTGATGCTTGGGAACTCAGCTGCACTCAGGCATCCCTGTTCTTTTTGTGACCCCAGGGATCCTGAGACCATGCTGTCCCACCTAGGATTCTGCCCCACTTTGCCACCTGATCGCCTTTCAGGCAGACTTCTAAAAGTTCCAATTTTGCATTCTGCTGATTATAACACCTCTGGTACCCAGCTTAAGGAGGCTCCTTCCCCCAAAGGTTTATCTTCCAATATATTGCCTTGGATTCACGTCTCTGCACCTCCTACCTTGCAAAAAGTGGTTGCTTTTCTATTTGTAGAATTGCAGCCATTCTTTTCTCAGATCTCTGGCTAATTTTGCAGGTGTTCAGAATGATTTGATAACTATCTAGCTGAATTCCGGGGACCAGACGAAATTAGGGTCCCCTATGCCTCCACCATCTTCACTCTAAACTTCACATTTAGATCAAAACCCTGCGCTTTGCTCTAGGCCTGGGATGCTTTTTCTCTCTCACTCCCCTCCCACTCCCATATACTTGTAGAACAGGGGCGTATACTCTGTTCTGTGGAGTGGTCTACAGAGGTGCTTTAGAATTTCTGTAAAATTCAATTTGAATGCTATTTAAATATAATTGTTAAAAAAAAAAACCTAGGAAGAAGTACCTGGCCAGAAGTATCCTAGACCAAGTTCTAACATGCCAGAGACTACCTCCTTATTTAGGGCTGGCAGGTTAACTCATTTTGTGCAGACTTTGGAATAAAACGGCTTCTGCTATCTCAGTATGTATTTGAAGTTCTTATACATTTGTCTTTGATTAAGAAGGTGATAATTCCAAGCTGCTCTTTCATTTGTGTATATGCATTGTTTGTTTTCTTGTTTGAATCTAGACAACCCATGTCAAAATTTAGGCCTGAGAGTGTTGTAGTGGTGAGTTCCCCATCATGGCCCATGGTAATGGCTCACATGTGTCTAGAAGGCTCAGTGCATCTTCTTGGAGCATATACTCCTCAGGTTGCACAGTCGACCAGGTAGTAATAAGTGAAAGCACAACGTGGCCATCATACCTTATTTGAGATAGTCTTTGAAATTCTTTTAAATTGGGGAGACTTGTTTGCTTTTTAGATGTAAGATAAGGAAAATCAAGCAGTTTTTAGAAATTGTTAGTGATTCAGCTTTGAAACAAGAATTTCCCAATTTTTACTTTTCAAATTTCTGGATTAGTTTCATTGTAGAGTATTCTGAGATTATTATACAATTAACTTTCTTTTTAACTACTCCCATTCCCACTCCTTATATGTCAGTGGGGACATTCTGTGTACTGTGCATTGAGACAAACTATAGAAAGAATATGGATCCTGAATCTGATTAAGCAAGCAGTTGGCATCCTTAATTGTGAATTCTTGTTTTTACAGTTTTAGTTGACTTCACAGTAAGTACTCTACATTTGAACTTAAAAGTTTAAAATAATAAAATACTACTTTTATTTTTCTGATGATGTAGCATTCTACTTTAAAACAAGGTATACCTAATTTAAAAAAGTTTAAATCCATATTCTTAAAAGCATTGTAGTAGAAGCGAAGCTGGAATAGCCTGTCCTGTGGAGAAAAGACAATCAGAAGTTGCCATCACGTTTATCACATAAAGTGGTCTACAGACTTTTAGAGGCAGATGTTGCTTTTATATCAGATATAAACATTGGTAGCATTTCTCGTCCTAAGTACCTGTTTGGTCCATTTCTCTAATACGGACTTCTGGATCCCAGCAGTTCTCTTGGACCACTCTGAAGACCTTCCCATCTTTCAGCATCTTTGCTTCTCCCTAAGGCAGAAAACTCACATCAGCAAAAGGTGTGACCTAGGCTTACTTAGATTTATTCTTCCTTGTATGCTTTGGAACATGGTTCTTCCCTAACATTTTTAGGGGTTTTTACTTAATCCTCAGAGAAGTAGACGTCTGTTCATTTAACAGGACTCAGCTTTTCATCCTCATGCCATAATGTTGGCCTGGAATCGAAGGGGTGTGCTCTGTGAGTGTCAGTGGCTGGACACAGAGAGAACAAGGTCATGGTCATGGCCTTTTGGGGCAGCATACTGAGGATGGCTGTTCATCTTGCTGATCTCAACTGCTGGCTACAGGATCCAAGAGGATGGCCCAGTGCCTGGAAAACTCCAGATCCATAACATTGTAGATTTGGAAAGGCCCTCTGAGATAGACCATCTAGTCCAACCCTCTTGTTTTATAGAAAAGAAACAGATGGGTAGTGACAGTAAATGATTTGTCTATCAGAGCAGGGCTCACTGATGTCAACACCTGCAGGAGGAGGCAGGCAATGAAGTAAATCAGTCTAGTAGCATATATGAAATTTGGTGCTAAGTTGTTAGCTTCCACCAGGCATCATGCCTGCCTGTGCACACTACATTTAATACTCAGTGCAAGGAGTCCTCTAAAGTGGACTTTCAATTTGTGATCCCTAAAGAAAAGGGAAAGGTCTGATCCAGGTCCCTGAAATCATAGTGATCAATGGGGATCAAATCCCCATTCTACCACTTACTGGGGTATAATAATAGTAATCCCTTACCTTAAAGGGATCTTGTAAGCATGAAATGGGATAATCCCTGTAATGCACTTAGTGGAGTTTCTGACACATAAGTGCTAGTTATTCTCAATATTAGTTATTAATGATGTATAGCTAATTAGGGACGAGACTATTTCCTGATATTTCCCTGCTTTGAGGGCACATCACCTCTGGTGGTGCTTCAGGGCCTCAGGATCGCCCTTGGGCCCTACGTGATGGCTGAATGGGCATGTGGTGATCAAAGGCCTTGAGCTCTGCTTGGTGGAGTCCTTCACCTTCCTCCTCTTCCTCTTGGCTTGATTGTGAGTGGTACACAGGCCCTGCCACAGCTTTCTTCTCCATCCTTCTATTCCTTGGACAAGACCTTCTCTGTCTCATGCATGGAGAAAGTTGACCACTTTTCACCTTCAAGTGTGGCAGCCCATTCATATCTGGCATGCATACATAAGACCTCACATCTAAGTTTCCATTTCTCATGGCTGGGGAAAAGGTCAGTGAACAACTTGTACATCCTGAGACAGATGTCCATACCTAGGCATAGCTGAGTCTCTTGACATCAGAACATCAGGATTTATTTGCCTCAGTTCCCATCCTTTGTTGACCTTGGCAGCATCTGAACCTCCTTCCCAGCTTGGGGAATCTCCTACGAGGCAGGTCCCAGATACCCTCTCATAAAGCCCCAAAGCCCCAATGCTTGGTCTCCTTGTCCCAAGCTTGACCATCAGTGCTTGGTTTTTAATCAAGAGGAAGTGATGCTTAAAGACAGGATCGGTGAATTTATTCTGCCAGTGATTCCAGCAGTGGCCACGTGCTGGGTCCATTGGCAGTGGTGTTGGTGGCAGTGTCCAGTGTCCAGCTGGGAGGCAGCAGCTCCCTAGCCAGGCTAGTCCTGTGGTGTGGTCTTGGCTGTGGCTTCAATCACCTGCACATCTTATGACCAGCTCCCTAGGCATTTGTACTTCTGGAGGGGCTTAAAACACTTGCAACCAATTCCTTTTCTGCTTAAACTGACCATTGTTGGTTTCCATTGTTTGCAACGAAGAGTCCAGAATGATACTGATTGCACAAATAGAATATAGGAACATATGTATTTCCATTTGGTGAAGAAGGGAGGGGAGAGGAATGATGGTAAAAGAAAAAGTGAAGAAATATACTTTTATTTGGCAAATTGGAGGCTTTATTTTTCTTTTGCTCCTAAATAGGAAAGCTTAAGCACCATAAAGCACCCAGGATAGCAGAGTGCTGAAAGAGCATGCATTCCAACAGACCTGGGTTTGAATCTCCTGAAGTTACTTACTACCAGTAGAAGAGGCTAAGTTAGGGGATTTCTGAGTTGAAGCCTCACTTTTTCTATCTGCAAAATGTGGACAATTATATTTGTCATGCTTGTGGCCACCCAGCATCTTTGGAACACTTTTGTGTGTGAATAAATGTTATGAAGGAGAATCCAGACTTCATTTTCCCAGGCTCCCTTGTAGTGAGGGTACAAACATGCATGCAGAAGCTGCCTTCTGGTATGGGTGTTGTCTGAGGTGTCAGACGTGGCTGGAGCAGAAACGTCAGTACTCTGGTCTCTAGTCTCAGCAGCATCAGCATGAGTATGAGCTTCCTGTCTGTGGCCAGAAGGGGCGGCACTTGCCTCTTTGCTGGAGCAGTCCACCAGGTATGATTGGGCATTGTGCATGTTAGCACAGCCTCTGGTTTTGATCTGTTGTCTTCCCAGGAGGTTTGTGAGCTGCCTTTCTACTAAAGCAAGCTAGAGTGTGTTCTGTTATTTGCAACTAAGAACACTGGGTAAAACAGAAGATTCAATAGAAATAGAATATTTGTAAAGAACCAGGTCAGAGAACATGCTCCATCATTTCAGGCCAGATTTTAGCATATATTATCAATGGCAATGGAGGAACTTGGGTTTCTCTGGGCGATGCATGAGTAAGTTTTGGTTTCAGATAAAGCAGGGCACATTAAAGCAGAAGTGGATCATTTAGTTCAACCCTTGCATTTAGCAGTAAGTCTATAAAATTCAGTGACTTGTCCAAGGTTATGGATCCATTTTCCATACCACCATGCTGATATTGGTAATTGGTGTCTATTTAGTAGGCAAAGGTTAATTACTATCATTTCCTACAGATTCTGATCTTTTGAGGGGATGGCCCTCATTACATGGCAGGAGAATTGGACTCACTAAACTTCTCTCTCCACATCCTTCATGCTGGATCCATGGTAAAGCTAATGAATGACAGCAACTCTTGGTTGAACTTTTGCTGAGTGAAAAGTACCACAGAGCAGCTGTGCCCTATAGTAGGCTCCCAATTTGCATTGTTTCTTAAGCCAGAATTTTGGGAGAATCAATTCCTGATACCTCTCACTTTACATTTGGGAACCCAGTATCCCTGCAGGGCTGTAAATGTGCCTCAGAAGGCAGCACTTGTTGCTGGGGGAGGGACAGAGGGTTTCTTAGGTTCTTAAGCTGACCTCAATATCAACCAAGATCTTAAACTAAACTAATAACCAAGTAATTGGAGTAAGCTGCTCCAATTTATTCAACCCACAAACAAATCCTGTTTTTTTAAACTCTCAAAAGAAAACCAAGTTGTTGTTGTTTTTTTTAAAGAGTTTCCCAACTGGGGTGCCTGGCTGGCTCAGTCAGAAGAGCATGTGACTCTTTTCTTTCTTTCTTTTTTTAAGATTTTATTTATTTATTTGACAAAGAGAGAGTGTACAAGCAGGGGGAGCGGCAGGTAGAGAGAGAAGCAGTCTTCCCACTGAGTAGGGAGCCCGACACAGGGCTCCATCCCAGGACCCTGGGATCATGACCTGAGCTGAAGGCAGATGTTTAACCAGCTGAGTCACCCAGGCACCCCAAGAGCATGTGACTCTTGATCTTGGGGTCCTGAGTTCAAGCCCCACGTGGGGTGTAGAGATTACTTAAATAAATAAAACTTAAAAAAAAAAAGAGAGTTCCCCAACCAACAATCGCCACCTGGGTAAACCATTTCAAATACACCTCTAATATTTTTAAAGCCAGAACACTATGACATAATAGAAATCATGATACCGCAGGAGCCAGGAGACCAGGACCCTGTGTGTAAACAACCTCCCAGAACCTTGGATTCTAACTATAAAATAAGGGCTCAGAGTAAGAGATGTCTAAATTCCCTTTCCAGGATGGTGTGATGTGCTGCTCAAATCCTCTTTCAGGAATAAAAGGCCTTTTTCTTCTAGCTTCTGGGGGTGTTGCCTACAGACGGCCCTGGACTATCAGCCCCTATGGGGAGATAGGAAGACTGCCTCAGCTGAAGAGCCACCTCCCTCCAGGTCCTGCTTCATTTCCAGGGCAGCCCACTTCCAATGACTGATTGACATGGAGGTATAAAGGCCCGTCTCTCTTGTCCTCCTGCACCCCAACTTGGGACAATTCTGAAGGTTTAGCTTTAGAGCTCCTGGTAGGGTCAGCTGAGGCCTCCATTGAAACATCACAGCTCAACATTGCCCTCTGTTCTATCCAGCTTTGTTCTCCTCCTTCCACTGGTGCCCATTGTCACAGCACTTCCTGATAAACCTCCTGCATGCTAATTTCTGTCTCAGAGTCTGATTCCCAGGGACCCTAACCTGGTATACTTCTGGTTCTCACATTCTAATTCTAATACTGTCCACAGATAAGTTCGAATATGGCTGGTATTTCAAATGACGGGTACTTCATGCATCATTTAAAATGTACTTTCAAACTCAACGTTTCACTATCAGATTCCCATTCTCCGCTCCTTACCCCCAGTTCCTACTCAGGCTATCCCTCTAGACCGTGCAAGCTTCTGAGCTGGTTGGGTTTGAAGTGCAGAGTTGTTAGAAATGGCCCAGATGCTGTCATCAGGAAGCACTTTCTATTATCACTCCAATGCTCACATTTCAAGGTTCTGAAGGGAGCTCCATTGGAGGCCCTACTACAACCATTTCTCTCCCAGACCTGCTGGTCCTCCCAGCTTACTGCTTTTGGCCTTGATGCCTGCATTATCTTTCTCATCTCTCTGAGACAACTTCACTTTTTCCCTTCCCTCTGCCTACCATGTCATTTATCCAGTTCATTTCCCAGTGCCCTGAATTCTGTCTCCAGAGTAGATCCTGAAGTGGTCTCCTCCTCCACATCTCGCTGCCCCAGTCTGGCCTAAGCCCCCTCCTCTCTTGCCCAAATGACTGCATCAGCCTCCAGCCTGATCTCTTGCTTTCACTTTTGTTCCCTTCCAAC